AGCTTTAGCCAATGTGAGATCCGCCTCTCTCAACAGCCTGCCTCTTACTTCTTCATATTTTATGCCACAAACGATTATTTTACAAAGAATCATGCAGTTGACCGAAAAAGTATTTTGCTTTGTTCTTTAAATCAGTGACGTAAGCATCAATACATTCTGATGGCCCCTGAGCCCTCTTGAAAACGTGTTGAATGTAAGGTAGGTTCACAATAGTCTGAATTTCTGTTTCAGCACGGCAATCTTCTTTCTCACCTTCAGCGAATTCAAACGTGTTGCATACCTTGAGTACCTCCTCTCCCGCGACGTCTAGAACGTTGCACTTTTTCCTCCTTTTTAGCAATGCCACTCGTGGTCAGAAACAATTCAAACTTTAGTATCCAAATCTTCCAGTCTTCAGCAAAATGTCATTGTAGACACAAGCTAGATGGTGGTTGTAACAGAGCCATCTTCTATTTTTCGCGGTTTATTCTGACACCATGTTATGTTGTTACAATATTAATGAGCCGGACAACGGAGATCTGTCTCTCCAGTTTACTGAAGAACAGTCTGAATACACGTCACTCATGTTCAACTACAGATACCTGTATTGTACATCACAGGCACAAAGGTCTCTGATAGCGCGCTGGTGAACAGTAGCTGACAGTGTCGGCTAGAGATTATGTGCAGGAGCTTCCTGGGGGAATTTGTAGTCCTGCTGAGGTCTCTTCTCTGTTGCTAATTAGCATTTTGAATTTTTGAGAGTAAATTGAGGCGAATATATATTGAGAACTCACCTTGTCCGAGAGAGAATTGCATGGCTATCAAAACGTCACGCCATGGTAAGCCTACACGAAACCCAGACCTTAAAAATCCCAGAAGCAAAAATGAATGGGGGAAAAAAAAACATTGAAACCATTACCGGGTTTTACCGCTAGATTTTATGGGTATTATGACACGTCCACAGTGCCAGACCATATTATTCCCATCTCCTCAAAAGTACTGTATCTCCACAGTTACAAATAATCTTTGGGATCTCTGCCCCTGTCTACTTGCCACAGGGTCCTAGCTATGCGGGATCCTTGGGACGTCCCTACCCCGCATTGAAGATTACATTAAAATGGTTATGGTTAAGGTAGGGGTTTTTAGATATTTATAGCCCCTTCTGTCTGTGGTAGGGACGTCCCAAGGATTCCGGATAGCACTGACACTTGCCACAGAAGCTTGTAGCCAATGGAAAACAACCTCGCGAGTTTAAATGTCCGGAGAGCAAACCAATGTTAAAATGGGGGTGAAAGGCTTGGGCTGTATTTGAAAATATGCAAATTATGCAACAAAAAAAATAGCAGTTTATGTGTATTCTGCATAAATCTCTGATCTAAATACAACGTTTGGTATATATACACTAAACTTTTACTATGGATTTCAGGATAAGAACGTTTTACTTTATTTTCCCCCCATTATCATGTTGGTATCTCCCCATGTCAAAGTTGACTGCATTGCTGTCATGTCTTTGTTGCTTCAATGCTAGCAAGTCCAGCGCGAAAGTGATTGAGTACAATCGTTTCTAAGAAAGAAAAAACTAATTCAACCATATCTGTAAGAGGTATGTATGCATTTTATTAATTACATATGATTCGTATTCATTGGACAACGAACCAGCTCATTGCTATAGCTAGCAAAGATAGCAAGTCATTCATCCATGCTAATTAGCGGAATAGCTAGCTTGCTTGCTAACACAGCTAGCTAACGTTAGCCAGCGAATAGCTATGCTATCTTGACTATCCACAATTACTTTTCATACGCCAAATCCAGTGGGTTAGCTAACATTGATGTTGATTTAAAGTATACTATAGACGAAGTCGGAGGTAGATTGTGTGTTGGCTGTTTACTTTGTTGACAAAGCATCGCTGGTTGTCCGCTAACGTTAGCTACCAAAGTGCCTCTACTAGTCTAGGACAAATATCCTTTTTGAGTTTTCTCCCCGATACTCTGTTGCTAATTCTACAAAGCCAGGCAATTTACAAGAATGATGTGCTATATCCAAATCAGAATAATAATGTCTCATCAACATGAATATTGATCTATCTAACAAAGTAAATCCAAGATGGAAGAAAAGCTGTATGGATCAGTGCCTGTCCCCTCGGAATATCTTCAACAGTGGTGAGTTCTTACCCCGTCAAAAAGAAGCCCAGGACATTTTGAACGACCTCCCCCTGGCAAATGGCAAAATGTTATGAATCTGAAATAACAGCATGTTTTGTTTTGATTGCATCTGATGGATTGTGCTACCTGCATCACCTAAATGCTTTGAATTGAGTTGACCACAGAACGACCTGTCTTTGACTTGCAAGCCTAGCTGATTGTGTGAGAATTGATTGTGCAATTGATACTATCAGACAGTTATGATCAAAGATTTATGTGTGTGTATATATATATTTACACACACGTCACATATAGAATGGCTTTCCTTTCCAGTTCTGCCTAATCTAGGAGACTTTCAACATGCAGGTGGTATAGAGAATATCAGAGGTTGTTTCTATGCTGTAGAAGCTGTGTCTACTGTAAACTACCTCATGAATATGGTGGAGGTAGGCCTGCCCTTTCTGGACCTTCTGGTACCTTTGAGGAGTCTGGGATTCTGAATGTCCTTGAGGGCATGGTGTATTTGTTTTACAGGACTCACTACAATATATTTACAATTTTTATTAACATTGGGGTCTCACTACAAAATATATTGGCTATAGAATTAACACTGGGGTCTCACTACAATATATTATGGCTATAGAATTAACACTGGGGTCTCACTACAATATATTTTGGCTATATAATTAACACTGGGGTCTCACTACAATATATTTTGGCTATAGAATTAACACTGGGGTCTCACTACAATATATGTTGGCTATAGAATGAACACTGGGGTCTCACTACAATATATTCTGGATATAGAATGAACACTGGGGTCTCACTACAATATATATAGGCTATAGAATAAACGCTGGGGTCTAACTACAATATATTTTGGCTATAGAATTAACACTCGGGTCTCACTACAATATATCTTGGCTATAGAATTAACACTGGGGTCTCACTACAAAATATATTGGCTATAGAATTAACACTGGGGTCTCACTACAATATATTTTGGCTATAGAATTAAGACTGGGGTCTCACTACAATATATTCTGGATATAGAATGAACACTGGGGTCTCACTACAATATATATATATTGGCTATAGAATAAACGCTGGGGTCTCATTACAATACATTTTGGCTATAGAATTAACACTGGGGTCTCACTACAATATATATATTGGCTATAGAATAAATGCTGGGGTCTCATTACAATATATTTTGGCTATAGAATTAACACTGGGGTCTCACTACAATATCTTGGCTATAGAATTAACACTGGGGTCTCACTACAATATATTTTGGCTATAGAATGAACACTGGGGTCTCACTACAATATATTATGGCTATAGAATGAACACTGGGGTCTCACTACAATATATTCTGGCTATAGAATGAATACTGGGGTCTCAATACAATATATTTTGGCTATAGAATTAACACTGGGGTCTCACTACAATATATATATTGGCTATAGAATAAACACTGGGGTCTCACTACAATATATTATGGCTATATAATTAACACTGGGGTCTCACTACAATATATTTTGGCTATAGAGTTAACACTGGGGTCTCACTACAATATATTTTGGCTATAGAATTAACACTGGGGTCTCACTACAATATATTCTGGCTATAGAATGAACACTGGGGTCTCACTACAATATATATTGGCTATAGAATAAACGCTGGGGTCTCACTACAATATATTTTGGCTATAGAATTAACACTGGGGTCTCACTACAATATATATATTGGCTATAGAATAAATGCTGGGGTCTCATTACAATATATTTTGGCTATAGAATTAACACTGGGGTCTCACTACAATATATCTTGGCTATATAATTAACACTGGGGTCTCACTACAATATATTTTGGCTATAGAATGAACACTGGGGTCTCACTACAATATATTATGGCTATAGAATGAACACTGGGGTCTCACTACAATATATTCTGGCTATAGAATGAATACTGGGGTCTCAATACAATATATTTTGGCTATAGAATTAACACTGGGGTCTCACTACAATATATATATATTGGCTATAGAATAAACACTGGGGTCTCACTACAATATATTTTGGCTATAGAGTTAACACTGGGGTCTCACTACAATATATATATTGGCTATAGAATAAACACTGGGGTCTCACTACAATATATTATGGCTATATAATTAACACTGGGGTCTCACTACAATATATTTTGGCTATAGAGTTAACACTGGGGTCTCACTACAATATATATTGGCTATAGAATAAACGCTGGGGTCTCACTACAATATATTTTGGCTATAGAATTAACACTGGGGTCTCACTACAATATATATATTGGCTATAGAATAAATGCTGGGGTCTCATTACAATATATTTTGGCTATAGAATTAACACTGGGGTCTCACTACAATATATTCTGGCTATAGAATGAATACTGGGGTCTCAATACAATATATTTTGGCTATAGAATTAACACTGGGGTCTCACTACAATATATATATTGGCTATAGAATAAACACTGGGGTCTCACTACAATATATTATGGCTATATAATTAACACTGGGGTCTCACTACAATATATTTTGGCTATAGAGTTAACACTGGGGTCTCACTACAATATATATTGGCTATAGAATAAACGCTGGGGTCTCACTACAATATATTTTGGCTATAGAATTAACACTGGGGTCTCACTACAATATATTCTGGCTATAGAATGAACACTGGGGTCTCACTACAATATATATATTGGCTATAGAATAAACGCTGGGGTCTCACTACAATTTATTTTGGCTATAGAATTAACACTGGGGTCTCACTACAATATATTTTGGCTATAGAATTAACACTGGGGGTCCTTTTCTTTTGTCTTCCTTTTACAGGATTCAGTCTGCTCAACAGCTTCAGGCTCTGCAGGGGCAGTATCCGGGCATCAACCATCACCACAGTCCTCATCCTCACTACACAGAGGAACCAAGAGAGGAGAGGGTCATGGCACATATGGCTGTCAATCATCACCCTCACTACACAGAGGAACCAAGAGAGGAGAGGGTCATGGCACATATGGCTGTCAATCATCACCCTCACTACACAGAGGGACCAAGAGAGGAGAGGGTCATGGCACATATGGCTGTCAATCATGAGCTCACGGCTCAGCAAGAACCTGCCAACTTAGCGAAAGGTACCCTGCTTCTTCATTCCCACAGAGAGCTGTATTCAATAACAATAAGGACAGGATCCTCAATGTATTGCTGGCCCGATGGATTTAAAGTTGATTCATTTGTGGGAGAAGTGTTCTTGATGCATTTCCCAATGGATTAACATTGGTGTGAAGGTTAACAGCAAGGTGATTGGAAGATCTCTCTCCCTCTTTCAGCTCCAGCGAAAAAGCGAGGGAGAACGGCACAACCGAAGGAACCCAAGGCACCCAAAGAACCCAAGGCCAAACCGGGCCCCAAGCCCAAGAAAGGCAAGGTGGGTCAAGAGGCAGACGGCACGCAGGAGAAGATGGACGAGACCGTCCAGAAGGTCAGGAAGAAACGGGACCGCTTCAAGGGCATGACGGAGGATGAGGTCATGAGCAGAACTCTGACTGACATCCTTGACTACAAGCTGGACTATGTTATTGTGAGTTCTACCTGTTTGTCGCTTTTATGCCAGACGTTATTATTAATGATGTAAGACAGACAATAGAGCTACCTCGATTTGTCCAATAAGAAATGTTCATTTGTTTCGAGCTGGAAAACGATTTTCTGTTTGCGTGGCCTAACGCAGTGTTTCCCAACCCTGGTCCTCGAGTACCCCCAACAGTACACATTTTTATTGTAACCCTGGACAAGCACACCTGATTCAACTAATCATCAGTGAGGTGTGTTTGTCAAGGGCTACAATGAAACTGTGTACTGTTGGGGGTACTGGAGGAGCAGGGTTGGGAAACACTGCCCTAATGAACACAACACAGTATTATGATGTGAATCTCTCTCTCTCTGTTCTAGATTGGAATCAACCCAGGTCTTGTAGCAGCCTATGTTGGACGATGGTTCCCTGGCCCTGGAAACCATTTCTGTAAGTTGCTTTAGTAGATATTTAGTCTTGCGTTCGTATGTGAACAGCCGTCAGGAACTCTTACTTTGAAAACATCTTCCTATTTTTTTTGTCAGCGCTTTCATTACCTCGACACCGTTTATGAATCAACCGAAATGGCAAAACTTTAAATTCAAGGCATCTTAACTGCAGAGCATTACAATTTTCACCTACATTTCAGAATAATAATGGTACGACGAATGAATTAATACTTAACCTCTTCAGGGAAGTGCCTGTTCTTGTCTGGATTCACTGATGAGCAACTCAACCACATGAGCGACACCAGTCTGCCTGCAAAATATAAGATCGGTTTCACCAACATGGTGGCAAGGACAACGCCTGGAAGCAAAGACCTCTCAACGTAAGCTTAGGAAGAAAGAAAATAATGCAATCCTTAAAGTCAGTCAGCAATGTGTTGAAAAATGAGGAGTGAGACAATGCAAAGTAAATCTCAAACAGTGGCCACACAGCAAGCTGGATTCACATATCGCTGGAATACAATGTTTGACTCGCATCTTGTGTTTCTTCACAGCAAAGAGCTACGTGAGGGCGCCTTAATTCTTGTAGAAAAGCTGAAGACCTACAAGCCTCTCATAGCTGTTTTCAATGGAAAATGTAAGTAGCCTCAGAACCCTGTTAGAGAGGAGACAATGCCAGTTACAAGAACTTTCCATTGGAATTCCATATTAACCGTTGAAATGATGTTTATTTTCAGGTATCTATGAAATGTTCTGCAGAGAGATGTTTGGAAAAAAGCCCAAGAAACTTGACTTTGGTCTGCAGCCACACAAGATACCGGACTGTGAAGTGGTAAGGGCTCTGCTTCCTGTTAGTCTGATGCAGTGCTCTGTTACCTGGTAGTCTGATGCGGTGCTCTGTTACCTGGTAGATTGATGTGGTGCTCTGTTACCTGGTAGATTGATGCGGTGCTCTGTTACCTGGTAGATTGATGTGGTGCTCTGCTTCCTGTTAGTCTGATGCAGTGCTCTGTTACCTGGTAGTCTGATGTGGTGCTCTGTTACCTGGTAGTCTGATGTGGTGCTCTGTTACCTGGTAGATTGATGTGGTGCTCTGTTACCTGGTAGATTGATGTGGTGCTCTGTTACCTGGTAGATTGATGCAGTGCTCTGTTACCTGGTAGTCTGATGCGATGCTCTGTTACCTGGTAGTCTGATGCGATGCTCTGTTACCTGGTAGTCTGATGCGATGCTCTGTTACCTGGTAGATTGATGCGGTGCTCTGTTACCTGGTAGATTTATGTGGTGCTCTGTTACCTGGTAGTCTGATGCAGTGCTCTGTTACCTGGTAGTCTGATGCGGTGCTCCAGATACTATATTGTAGGATGAATGGATGACAAAGAAATGAAGTGTTGAAAGAGAATGTACTTCCTGGATAAATATTTTTCCACAACTGGTCAAAAAGTCACCCTTTGACTAAACATTCAAATCTAACAAAAATCTCCTAAATATAGTCAATATTAACCAGTAGCGTAGCCAGAAACTCATTGGGGGAGTGGCGCTAACTTCTTGCAATTCTACAAATTTTTCCATGGGTCAGAGAGGAACATGTGCAGTTTTATAGCTCATCATGCTATTCTACACATCTTGCCATGATGCTGAGAGACAATTTAGCATTTTTAAAGCTAAAATAAAGGTGTGTTGACTGTGATAAAGGCACTGGATTATAAGATGTCTTGTTTGCTAAATGAACAAATGAAATAGGCTTTGGCAAGGTGCATATAGCCATAGAAGCACAGTGACATACAGTATGCCTCAATGATGTCATGTTCGTGGCTTATTGGGGGTGTGGCTTTCAGTTAGTTATTTTTGGCCACCCATCCCATGAAAGTGAATGAATGTCATTCCAGTGCACTGCTTGCTATGAATTCTATCTGATGGTGCATGTTTAGGTAAAAAGACACTGACACGTAGAGCATAATATCGTTATATTTTTCTGCTCAATCTGATTGGGTGGGCCTGGCGATATTAACCCCTTAGAGTTGATTGATGCACAGGTGCGTCATAGCAACATAATAAAACAATCCCCATCTAAATCAGTCAGTTTAAACTAGATATCTGTTTTTTTTGCTTTGGATGCGTCTCAATCCACCACATCCGCCGATGTCTCACTTCTGCGGTGAAAGGTGGCAGAGCTAGAGCGGTGTTTGTCAGACCGTGAGACATCCCATAAATCTGTTCTCACGAACGTCAATTTTCTCATGAGCGTCCGAACGGTTTGACCTACAATCAATTAAAGGCGAGACTCTCACGAACACGATGGTGTTCTCCGTTTTGCTCTATGACCCCCACAAGTGTCATGGGACTTGTCTGAAGGTAACCGGTAGTTTTGTGCCTACCCAACAAAAAAGGTTAAATATGTGTAAAAACAAAAATATTTCCTTAGCTTTCTTATATAGATATAGGACAAACACTTCAAAACCTTGTTTCTTATTATTTATTTTTTGACTGTCTTTTTTACCATTAATGAATGTATTATTCAATGCCTTTCTCTAAACTATAGTAGTAAAGGCCAAATTCAATCAATATATATATATACCTACCTACCTAAAGGGGTACTAAAATTCAAAATCAAATAGCTAAATGATCCATAGTATGACTATTTTAAAAACAATTCCTTAGAAATGACACAGTATAACCCTGCCCTCTCCCCTACAGGCGTTGTATCTGATGCCGTCGTCCAGTGCCCGCTGTGCCCAGTTTCCCCGTGCCCAGGACAAAGTGCACTTCTACATCAAGCTGAGGGAGTTGAGGGACCAGCTCAGGGGCGTGGCCAGAAAGGACGACATTCAGGAGTTAGAGTATACCTTTGACCTGGGACTGGCCAAAGGTAAGAGAACGTGCTGCAGAGTGCTAGAACGAGTATTCCAAATCATTTACATAAAGTACATCATTAACATAACATGTACATTATTATGAAACGGTACAATGACATTACATTTGGAAATGAAATTAAAAGCCATCACAGTTCTGCCCTGTCTCATGACCTTGTTGTTCATCTGAATGAGCTGTATGAGAACAGTCTTGTTCACCAGATACATGGTAACCGTTTACATGGTAACAGTGTACATGGTAACAGTTTGTTTGTTCCAGAGAAATATATTTAATTCTGTGTTTTCTCCACCCTACAGAGGACGCCAAGAGGATGGCGATCAAAGAGGAGGCGTACGACCCGGGCTACGAGGCGGCCTTCGGCGGAGCGTATGGCGAGGGTGGGCCAGGGCCTGAGGAGTGCCAGAGCAACGGCAACGGGCACTGTAACTTCTCGTCGGCTGAAAACACAGGTCAGCACAGAGATGGCTGGATGCACCATAGAACTAGGATAAGCAGTAACTAGTTCAACGGTATGGACTCCCCACAGCAGAGTTCTCCCCAGGATCTTTTAACAAGGTCACCATTCTTGATACACACCCATGCTGAGTACGAGGACCAGAGGGGGGCAGTGACCCTCTTTTAACTCAGCAAAACAAATGGCCTGATATGAAAGTATAAAGTAATGCTTCTGTTCCATTCTTTGGGGAGAACCCTGCCACAGGACACTAGTCTTAAAAGCGGTAGTTAACCCAAATTACAAAAGTATTTAAACATCCTCACCTTGAAATGAGTCTAGATGCCATGAGGTAGGTGCCCTGAATGTCTCCTCCCTAGACACTGTTGTAGATACTTACACCTATCTGTGTTGGAGAGGTGTACGTAATATGGCTGATATTCTATACAGCCTATCAGAAGGCAAGTGTGAAGTGCCATATTGTGCATTCTTATCCAATATGTACAGGAGTGGCTAGGGCAGGGTTCTTCAATTCCGGTCCTGGAGGGCCGAAACACTTCTGTTTTTTATTTCTACCTGGTAGTTATTTGCACTCACCTGGTGTCCCAGGTCTGAATTAGCCCCTGATTAGAAGGAGAGGATGAAAAACAGAGGTGTATCGGCCCTCCAGGACCGGAATTGAAGAACCCTGGGCTAGGGGTTGATGTGGAATGCAGGGATAGTATTACTATACACGATCACATTGCAGATGGCCAAAATAAACGAGACTGAATAGTGTTTCGAAACCAACTAGCGTATAGAATATTTTGACTCTCGCTATGTCTAGGGTTCCGAGCTAACTAACTGGGCCACAACCTTATATTAATGAGTAATTAATATACCGTCAGTATGTCTAAATACCCTGGTATACAGTATATCGCCCAAGCCTATTAGAGTATGAGGATTGCTGTTGACTAATGTACCTAGGAGACCCAGACTACAGATGAAAATGAGCTATCCAGCTAACTCTGGTGCAATTACATGTTGTACATGGTCCCTGACAAATAAACAATAAATACCAGGGTCCAGGGAGAACCGTAGTCAGCCAGCCCAAGCAGGTCATAGAAGCTCAATTGTGACAACAAATGATGTATACAAAACAAGTAGAAGGCCAAAATGAAAGATTCAAACAAAGTCGTCCTGAGTCCACCTCTCACTCTGCAATCACCTGCTAATCACCCGCACCTGTGAACAATCACTAACTTATCATGCCTTGCTGGCACTATCAGCACCTAGCCCGGTTGCTGCTGCCCCCTAAGCATGATATGTAGTGGAAGGGTTTAGCTATGGCCTAAAACACCTACCTATTCCTAACAATGGCCTCTAAGGTAGCATGGTCCAATCCCCTCACCTCAGTGTTTATTTTATTTTCATTTCAGACGCTGCCGACAAGGCAGACACTTCCCAACCTCCTGCCGCCGCCGCCACCACCACAGAGGGACAACTCCCGGACGGACAGTGGATGATGCAGTCCTTTGCTGATCAGATTCCAGACATTGGTGGCTCTAAAGAGCCTCAGGCATGGGTGGGCAATGTATGAGGAAGGGGATAGGGTTCGTTGGGAGCCCTATCTGGACGTGCACAGACCTCAACCCACACATCCTTAACAAGAGGCTGCACCTCAGTTTGAAGACTCAAATTGTAGCCTTTTCATTTTTTTTGTATTAGCCATTTAGAGATATACATGTTTAACTACTTGATAGATGGAATTGTCTAAATTGATAATTTTGAGGATTTGTGGAATATTAGCTTTTTTAAATCCTGTTTTGTCATACCATGTGTGATTGCCCTCAAGGCGGTCTTTTAAATATGTGAAATCAGGGACTTGACAATGATGCTTGATGCCTTTGGTTCTTTTGTTGTCATACTGTACTTGGCCACAGGCTGGTGTAGTAGGTGTATGCAAAGCAGGATACTGTTCTGACAGTACAAATTGCCCTAAATCAGACTTTTACACACTGGTTGAACAGTCAGTCCCAAATTAACCTGTGGCAAAACACATATATACAGTATGCTACTGGAAGTCATGCATTGTGAAATTTAGGATTAGCTAGTATTCTAGTTTGATAAATGCTGTGCCTTTTTTGAGGAGAACAGGTACTGAGTGATATGTGAACAAACTAAACATGGTCAAAAAGTGATTCCACGGAGGGATGTTTTGGAAATGTCTTCACAAGCCTTTTATAGTGGATTTACAATACTGAAGATAAGTGCTGTTCTCTTGTTGCTTTATGAGGTATGTTATGTTTAGTATGTTTCTGAACATTTTCTTCATTAAAGCTAAAATCCTTAGTTGCTACATACATTTTTGGACTTATAAATTAATGATTTATACCCATTGATTCTTAAAGTAAAGTATATAACTTTATAAATGCCCCAGGAGCTTAGTTAAACTGTCGTACCCCACCAGAACCCAAAATAAGCTTGTTTTACTCCAATGTTTTTAAACTAACACTGTATAGACTCAAAACATGGTTAAAACTATAATTTTAATATCATGGATGGTCAGTCCTTGCATCCATAGCTCTGTCTATGAATTTGAGTGGATACATTTCTTCAGGCCCATCCCTCAGCTTTTTACCAAAACAGAGGCAGGGTAAACACGTTATTGTTTCAATGAAGGATTCTAGCTTTAAATTATCCTCACGGGGTTTTTCTATTTTACTTGAAGTTGTTTTGTTTGTTTTACTTTCTGGAAAGATTTGGTCGTCTTGGTTTGTTTGTTTTACTTTCTGAAAATATTTGGTCTTCTTAGTTTGTTTGTAAGGGTTCTGATGACCTTAAAGCACGTCAATAAACTTTTCATCCGTCTGCATCCTGAATGAGTAAACCCTGGGTCGTGTTTAATTAGGAAAACATTTTAAATGTATTTGCAACGGATAAGACATTTTTTGTATTTCTTATTGGAAAAGCCCAGGATGTCCCTCCCGGTTTCAATCAGTTTTCTTCTGTTTGGTGCCAATTGAACACGACCCTGTTCTTTCTTACAAATGTTTCATATTGTACATTACAATATACTCTTTGCACAAGTTTTGACTTCTGAGATACTGCTCATGATCCCTCTGGGCAAACGTATGGATGCACGCTGTGAGAATAACTGGTATATTACATTTTATTTGAATGCGTAGCTGTGACAGTATGTCAGAAGTTATAATACTTTAGCATTACAGTCTACACCAGTGGGTCAAGTTTGTAACCATGAAGCTATTGCAGCATCCCGTGTCACAAGGTTCCTACCGTGAGATGGATTAGGGTTGAAATAGTTCAGTGGCAGCTACAAGCTACCTCACTTTTTTAAGGTTTGTATTTTATTTTTGTGACCAATGTGGATTTAAATAAAAGTGATTTTGCCAATTTTGTATGAATGGAATTGGTCATACATGAACACTTCATCCTCTTAGTTAAAGACTAAGGCTGGGATTCAATCAGAAACCAAGTTATAGCGCGGCTGACATTTAAAGCTAGGATCCTTCATTGAAACAATAAAGCCGACACCTCTGTTCTGTTAAGAAGCTGAGGGATGGGCCTAGAGGAATGTGTCTACTCAGATGAATAGGCAGAGCTATAGATGCAAGGGACTGACCATCCATTATATTACGTATAGTTTTAACCATATTTTGAGGCTGTGTGTTTACATTTGCGCTGTATGAAAATGTACGCACTCACTAACTATGTCGCTCTGGATAAGAGTGTCTGCTAAATGACTAAAATGTAAAATGTTTACAAAACAAACAAGTTTATATTTTGGGTTCTGCTGGGGTACGACAGAACTAAGCTCATCAAGCATATATAAGTTATAGTCTTCAACAATCAATGGGTATATATTAAGTTATAAGTAAAGAAAATGTGATGTAGCAACTAAGGATTCGAGCTTTAAAGGACATTTCCAGTTGAGACATCTGCAGCATTTACCTTGAATCTCCATAAAAGCAGTAACATTGCCTTTGAAAGCTGCATTTTGTCTAGGCTGACGACGACAACACGAAATTCTTCCGCTGCTCTATGTTCTCCACATACTTTAGTCTGAGATTGCCATCGTTGAAGTCGTTTGTGGTGACGAGGGGCCTGAGGGGTATTGTACAAAACGAAGACATCAGCGATTGGACCAATCAGAGTATTAAAGCCAATGATTAAATTTACCATAGATTATCAATTGTATTGATCATAAACGAGTGGCCGAAATGTATTTGAAAATGGAAGGCAGTCAGGAGGAGGCAAGATCAGTTGGGACCATTCTAGCCAATGAGAGGGCAGATACGTGTGTGAACAGGCACAACGGTTTCCACTAGTTAGCCACAAAGTCAAAATTGGCCATATCGTAAAAATTCATGAAGATAAACATTTGCTTTTTGGTCTTAATTTAAGGTTAGGCATAAGGTTAGCAGTGTGGTTAAGGTTAGGCATAAGGTTAGCAGTGTGTTTAAGGTTAGGTTTAAAATCTCATTTTAAGAAAATACATTGTAGAAATAGGCGGGGTTTAGGACTTTGTGGCTGTGGTAACTAGTGAAGACCAGGCACAACTTTGATATAAAGTGCTTTTTCTCAAAGTTGCCAGGATGTCACGTGTCCTACTTATATCAGTACACTCGTAACAACCTAATCATTACCAAACTTCTATTCGAGCAAATAAGCCATTAAATTTTTTGTTAATGCGTTCCATGAAAGATCGGGGATGTACATGTACTCAGATGCAGACAGAGAAGAAACTGACGTCCGTCTGGCCGGTGCATGGAGTCTGGGTAGCCATGCAACATTTTGTCCACAATGTGATCGGATTTAATCATTGCATGTAGATGTATGTGTCACTGATGCTTAGGAATTGTTCATGTACGTTATAGGCAGTGTTATAGGCATGTATGTTATAGGCCCCCCAGCTCCTCGTCTCTCTCTCCCACTGAGTCTGACTCACTTAGCCCTCCTTGCGCTCCGCCAGGTACCACACCGTGCCGTTAGCCCTCCTTGCGCTCCGCCAGGTACCACACCGTGCCGTTAGCCCTCCTTGCGCTCCGTCTGGTACCACACCGTGCCGTTAGCCCTCCTTTTGCTCCGTCTGGTACCACACCGTGCCATTAGCCCTCCTTGAGCTCCGCCAGGTACCACACCGTGCCGTTAGCCCTCCTTGAGCTCCGTCTGGTACCACACCATGCCGTTAGCCCTCCTTGCGCTCCGCCAGGTACCACACCGTGCCATTAGCCCTCCTTGCGCTCCGCCTGGTACCACACACTCCTGAATCCTGCAGGTTGTTGTCACTCAAGTCCAGCTCTATCAGGTGTTTGAGCTGAGATCTGAAGGCAAGAGATTTGCAGCACCGCTTTGTCAGTTTACAGTCTTTCAGTCTGAAGGAAATATTTTGGGCAGAAACAAAAAAGTTTTAACAAAATAACCTCAATAACACCAATCCTCAGAGATTATATCAGCGCTTTTAGAGTTAAAAAAATAAAATGTTTAACTGCTTTGTCAGTTTACAGTCTTTCAGTCTGAAGGAAATATTTTGGGCAGAAACAAAAAAGTTAACAAAATAACCTCAATAACACCAATCCTCAGAGATTATATCAGCGCTTTTAGAGTTAAAAAATAAAATGTTTAACCGCTTTGTCAGTTTACAGTCTTTCAGTCTGAAGGAAATATTTTGGGCAGAAACAAAAAGTTTTAACAAAATAACCTCAATAACATCAATCCTCAGAGATGATATCAGTGCTTTTAGAGTTAAAAAATAAAATGTTTAATCTGAAGAGATTGGAGAGAGCGAGCGAGAGAAAGACAGAGATAGGGAATGTAAAGTAAAGGGAGAGAGAGGACAAGGGAGAGGGAATGTAAAGTAAAGGGAGAGAGAGGACAAGGGAGAGGGAATGTAAAGTAATGGAGAGAGAGGACAAGGGAGAGGGAATGTAAAGTAATGGAGAGAGAGAGTTCTTACAGGACCCGTTTAGAGTGTTGGACCACAGGAAGTAGTCTGGGCAGCACAGCCTGGGAGCGGATATACTTCCTAAGGTCAAACTCCTCCAGTGTGTCATCAGAGGTCAACAGAGCCTGCTCTAACTCCGCCCACTGCGTCGTCACAATGTCACGCTCAGACACGCCCTCTAAAATGGATTTGCTGAGTCAGTGAATGATTTATTTTGTTTATCTGAAACGCAGCCACAGTAGTATTAATTACCAAACAAATTAAAGGATTTATGGTAGTAAATTAAAGACAAGTGTCTTTCAACAGGTCTCAGAAAAAAGTAAAAGGTGCTTCACGGGATTTATACTTATCGCACTTTCAAAGCAAAAGCACATCTTTACACTCCAGAAAAATGGGTGGTGGTATCGGCGGTACACACCAGTTATCAGTGTGAAGTGGAGAAAGAAAGGGAGAAGATTGTTTACCAGAAATGACGACAGTGAGGCTAGCAAGCTAGCTAATTATGTTTATAACGTGTACAGATAGCTACTGGCTAGCTACTGTAGCAGCTAGCTTGCTAGATAACTTATTAGCTTGCCAGCACCACTCAACAAATTATATGCAAGATACTGCAGTTGGCTAACCATGCACAGAAGTAACGCAAATAGCCTAGACTACCAATAGAAATACCTCACTTGCATGTATCCAAAACCAGAACCTATCTGGAAACTCTTTTCACTGCTGTGGTGTCTGCAGAGTTTTAAAAAAATGTGGGAGTTGCAAGACACCTTCCACTGCGGCCAAAGCACACATATTTTTGTTTGCTTCGTTGTCACTTTAGTCTGAAGACCCATCTGAAGACCCACCTGCTGAAGACACTTGTCTTTTGTACAATCTTCATTTTAACCAGGAAACCGGCGTTTGTACCCGAGTTCAGGTATTTCAGCAGCTTCACCGCTAACAACGCGCCTCCCAGCTCGCTCAGGCAGGGATATAAAGACATTTGTGCACAAAATTTGAGAGAAATAAGCTTTCTGTGCGTTTGGAAAATGTCTGGGATTTTATATTTAAGCTCATGGGACCAACACTTTACACGTTTAATTTACTTGTTTAATTTCTTCAGTGTAGTTTGTTTGCTTGTGTGTAATGTACACATCATACAACTCAACTAAAAAGAATGTTAAAATAAAACTACAGATATGCTCAAATCAAAGTTTAATGGTCACGTAAACAGATTTGCTGTGATCTGTTTACAGTAACCTACAGGTAACCTAGACCCAGAAGAGGATACAAAAGGTAACTGTCGCAAAGTGCTTTACAGTAACCTACAGGTAAACTACAGTAACCTACAGGCAACCTACAGGTCAACTACAGGTAAACTACGGTAACCTACAGGTAAACTAGAGTAAAATACAGGTAACCTACAAGTAACCTACAGGTAACCTACAGGTAACCTCAACCCAGAAGATGAAGCAAAAGCAGACGCACAGTGGTAACTATGAAAGAACTCCCTAGAAGGAAGAAACTTTTCTGGTATGCATCTTTTAAAGGCAATGATACTGCTTTTAGGGAGACCACATTCACGGTAAACGCTGCACATCAGAAATGATCTTTAAATGTCAATCGCGTTATAAGGCTTAATGGAATGTATCCCGGCCTTGGCTCAGAGAGGAGATCAGCTCTTTCATTGTGTTCTTGTGCTGATCAGCAATATTATGTTTACTTATGGTAAATACATTTATGAAGAGCATTACTACCTAGAATTGTCCCTCCATTTTTCACATGCTTGTTAATAAAATAATTGTAAGAAAATTCTGTTGTCTTTTCAGTGTTATGTAGATTGATCAAAACAAATGTCCTCCATGGGTGTGCAGTTTAACAGATCGGTATTGTTGCACGGTTTTACTCGAAGTGATTCCTCTTAAGGTTCTTGGTGCGTTGATGTTTTGTTTTGTTGACACTTCTTTAACCGTGGCATTTTGAGGACTTCTGTTGGCTCACTGTAGAAGACACACACACACACACTGAGTAGATACCAGACATTTGCATTGACTGAACATTTACCACAGTAACTTTTCAATTGACCATATACAGTACTCTGTCTGCACTGTTACGAATCGCAGATACAGGAGTCAACTAATTACACAAACAGATAGAAACATTCCGTTGTTGTTGTTTTCTCAGAAAACAAGGTACTTTGCTTGTGTTATAAGAATCAAATCATTGAAAAGGAATGACATGTTTTTGTATATGACATAGTCTTACAGACTGATTCAATTCTTAATTGAAGAACAAAAGGCATGTAGCCTATTAAAACAACATATATCATTTGGGGAAACACACCTGTTGATTTCTTGAGCTCCCCCATTCCATGCCTGCCTGGACATGTCAGCTGCTAAACCATACAGCCAGCGTATGTCAGATGGCACCTCTGGGATCCAATCCATGAACCTGAGGTACAGTATTACTGTAGTGTTAAACCAACACGCCCTGATAATGAACCTGAAGTACAGTATCACAACACAAGGGTTTGTTTAGCTATAGCTTAGCATAATTGATGTTTAGCTATGGCTTAGCATTAGCATCATTGATGTTTAGCTGTAGTTTAGCATTAGCATCATTGATGATTAGCTATAGTTTAGCATTAGCATCATTGATGTTTAGCTATAGTTTAACATAGCATCGTTGATGTTTAGCTATAGCTTAGCATTAGCATCATTGATCTTTAGCTATAGTTTAGCATTAGCATCACGGATGTTTAGCTATAGCTTAGCATTATAATCATTGATGTTTAGTTATAGCTTAGCATTAGAATCATTGATGTTTAGCTATAGCATCATTGAGTACAAAACAATAAAAAATGCTATAAAAAAAATCAAGCCTTAGGCCCATTCATATTCTTCCTTCCTTGAAGTAATCACCGATGACACATGATTGGACGGGTGAGCGCAAGGGCTCCGCCACATGGCTTTTACCTGCAGTCATAATGACTAATGGTAAAAAGAAAGGGGCCTTACTCTTGGCTGGTGACCAGGTAACATGCTTCAAATAAGGAATAATGATACTCTGACCACATATTGTAACGAGTGATGCCTGACCATGTTAGTTTATTAAATCTGCTTTATTTTGCTACAGTCCTCTCAACGTGACATGAACTACGGAATCCTCAGAGGATCATACAGTAACAAAATAAATGTTGGGTATAATTTCCATCATGCAATTTTCTTTAATTTTTATTCTTTTAAAGATCACTTTGAAAAATGCTTCATATACGACGCAAAACTGAGCATCATCACACTTTTTTATTTTTACCTAAAGTGCTCCATCTTGAAACTTTACGAAGGTTGACATTTATTGGGATGAGTCTTGTCCTGGAGGCAGAACTGAGCGATTTCTGCTAGATGGGCTAGCTGCAAAGTCAAAATTGGCTATAATGTAAAAATTCATGGGCTTAATTTAAGGTTAGGGTTAGGCATTAGGGTTAGCAGTGTGGTTAAGGTGAAGGTTAGGTTTAAAAATCCGATGTTATGACTTTGTGGCTGTGCCAGCAAGTGACCACTCTGCAGAGCTGCCTCCAGAACAAGATTCATAACGAAAAACGCGAACGTGCAAACTTTACGGCTGACATGCACAATATTTTGGACAATATCCACAGTGGACTAATTAACAAAATAGTAAAACATATATTAATATATTAAAGTAAAATTAACAGCTGTAGAGAAAGACTAATTAAGGCCCAAATACAGAGGAGGAACTTCTTGATGCAATTAAAGCCTTTAAGTCTGGGAAAACTCCAGGGCTGGATGGCATACCAGTTGACCTATATCAAACCTTTTTTGATGTACTTAGAGGACCGTTATTAGCATGTTTTAACCACTCCTATAAAAATGGTAGATGATCAGATACTCAACAAGAAGGTCTGATTTCATTATTACTGAAACAGGACCCAGGTAGTAAATATAAAGATTGAGTCCGTAAAGATATTGGAGGCCCCTTACACTTTAGTGTTGTGATGCAAAAATTTGAGCAAAATGCATAGCACATAGAATTAAAAAGGCATTGTCGGATATTATTAATCCTAATCAGACAGGGTTTTTACATGGACGATATATTGGTGATAATATACAGTGGGGGAAAAAAGTATTTAGTCAGCCACCAATTGTGCAAGTTCTCCCACTTAAAAAGATGAGAGAGGCCTGTAATTTTCATCATAGGTACACGTCAACTATGACAGACAAAATGAGAAAAAAAAATCCAGAAAATCACATTGTAGGATTTTTAATGAATTTATTTGCAAATTATGGTGGAAAATAAGTATTTGGTCAATAACAAACGTTTCTCAATAGTTTGTTATATACCCTTTGTTGGCAATGACACAGGTCAAATGTTTTCTGTAAGTCTTCACAAGGTTTTCACACACTGTTGCTGGTATTTTGGCCTATTCCTCCATGCAGATCTCCTCTAGAGCAGTGATGTTTTGGGGCTGTCGCTGGGCAACACAGACTTTCAACTCCCTCCAAAGATTTTCTATGGGGTTGAGATCTGGAGACTGGCTAGGCCACTCCAGGACCTTGAAATGCTTCTTACGAAGCCACTCCTTCGTTGCCCGGGCGGTGTGTTTGGGATCATTGTCATGCTGAAAGACCCAGCCACGTTTCATCTTCAATGCCCTTGCTGATGGAAGGAGGTTTTCACTCAAAATCTCACGATACATGGCCCCATTCATTATTTCCTTTACACGGATCAGTCATCCTGGTCCCTTTGCAGAGAAACAGCCCCAAAGCATGATGTTTCCACCCCCATGCTTCACAGTAGGTATGGTGTTCTTTGGATGCAACTCAGCATTCTTTGTCCTCCAAACACGACGAGTTGAGTTTTTACCAAAAAGTTCTATTTTGGTTTCATCTGACCATATGACATTCTCCCAATCCTCTTCTGGATCATCCAAATGCACTCTAGCAAACTTCAGACGGGCCTGGACATGTACTGGCTTAAGCAGGGGGACACGTCTGGCACTGCAGGATTTGAGTCCCTGGCGGCGTAGTGTGTTACTGATGGTAGGCTTTGTTACTTTGGTCCCAGCTCTCTGCAGGTCATTCACTAGGTCCCCCGTGTGGTTCTGGGATTTTTGCTCACCGTTCTTGTGATCATTTTGACCCCACGGGGTGAGATCTTGCGTGGAGCCCCAGATTGAGGGGGTTTATCAGTGGTCTTGTATGTCTTCCATAATAATTGCTCCCACAGTTGATTTCTTCAAACCAAGCTGCTTACCTATTGCAGATTCAGTCTTCCCAGGCTGGTGCAGGTCTACAATTTTGTTTCTGGTGTCCTTTGACAGCTCTTTGGTCTTGGCCATAGTGGAGTTTGGAGTGTGACTGTTTGAGGTTGTGGACAGGTGTCTTTTATACTGATAACAAGTTCAAACAGGTGCCATTAATACAGGTAACGAGTGGAGGACAGAGGAGCCTCTTAAAGAAGAAGTTACAGGTCTGTGAGAGCCAGAAATCTTGCTTGTTTGTAGGTGACCAAATACTTATTTTCCACCATAATTTGCAAATAAATTCATTAAAAATCCTACAATGTGATTTTCTGGATTTTTTTTCCTCAATTTGTCTGTCATAGTTGACGTGTACCTATGATGAAAATTACAGGCCTCTCTCATCTTTTTAAGTGGGAGAACTTGCACAATTGGTGGCTGACTAAATACTTTTTTCCCCCACTGTAAGACAAGTACTGGAAACAATAGAACACTATGAAAAATCTGGGAAACCAGGCCTGGTATTTATAGCTTACTTTGAATAGGCCTTTGATATTTTGGAGAATCTCATATACAATGGGTTAAAGTTATGTATAGTAACCCTAGGTGTAAAATAATAAATAATGGTTACTTCTCAGAAAGTACTAAACTGTCAAGAGGAGTAAAACAAGGTTGTCCACTATCGGCATATCTATTTATTATAACCATCGAAATGTTAGCTATTAAAATCAGATCCAACAATAATATCAAGGGGCTAGAAATCCAGGGCTTATAAACAAAGATGTCATTGTACGCTGATGATTCATGTTTTCTTTTAAATCCACAATTTGGATCCCTCCATAGCCTCATAGAGGATCTAGATAATTGTTCTAACCTCTATGGATTACAACCATATTAAGTATTGGACCACAAAAAAATACAACTTTTACATTACCATGTAGTTTACCAATAAAATGGTCAGACAGTGAAGTGGACATACTCGGTATTCATATCCCGAAAGAAAGAAATGATCTCGCTACAATACATTTGAAAAGAAAGTTAACAAAAATAGATAAGTTCTTGCTATCATGGAAGAAAAATACCTGTCTATTTGTGGAAAAATCACCCTGATTAACTCTTTAGTCATATCCCAGTTTACCTATTTGCTTATGGCTCTGCCGACACCTAACAACTTGTTTTTTTAATTAAATGAGCAAAACATATTCAATTTTATTTGGAACGGCAAGCCAGACAAAATTAAACGGGCCTATTTATATAATAAATATGAATTCGGAGGGCAGAAATGATTAAACATTAAAGCATTAGACCTCACTAAAGGCTTCAGTCATACAAAAGCTATACTTAAATCCAGTGGTGTAAAGTATTTAAGTAAAATTACTTTCAAGTACTACTAAAGTAGTTTTTTTGGGTATCTGTACTTAACTTTACTATTTATATTTTTGACAACTTTTACTTTTACTTTACTACATTCCTAATAAAAACATACTTTTTACTCCATACATTTTCCCTGACAACCAAAAGTACTCGTTACATTTTGAATGCTTAGCAGGACAGGAAAATGGTCAAATTCACCCATTTATCAAGAGAACATGTTGTCATCCTTACTGCCTCTGGTCTGGCGGACTCACTAAACACAAATGCATATTTTGTAAATAATGTCTGAGTGTTGGAGTGTGCCCCTGGCAATCCGTACATTTTAAAAATAAGAAAATGGTGCCGTCTGCTTTGCTTAATATAAGGAATTCTAGATGTTTTATACTTTACTTGTGATACTTTAGCAAGTATATTTGAGCAATTACATTTACTTTTGATACTTAGTTAAATTTAAAACCAAATACTTTTAGACTTTTACTCAAGTAGTATTTTACTGGCTGACTTTCACTTTTACTTGAGTAACTTTCTATTAAGGTATCTATACTTTTACTCAAGTATGACAATTGGGTACTTTTTCCACCAGTGCTTAAATCCGAACTGGTTCTCTAGCAGACTAGTAAGAATGGCTCACCCCGTGTTCTAGAATGGCCCTTTTCCCTTCATTCAGATTACAACCTCTCACTTTCAGTTATTTGAAAATGAAATAATCTCCAAAATATTGCTATTTTTAAAACAAGCCATAGAAAGTTGGTTGCAATTTCAGTTTAATCCACCAGAAAAGACAGAACAAATATTAAAAGAAATATTATGGTTAAACTCAAATAAACTAATTGATAAAGAAAACATTATTTTTGGAAAAAAATAAATAAAAACGATATAATCTTTGTAAATTATATCATAAATAGGACTGGTGGAGTTATGTCACACATTCAGCTAACAAAAATATATGGAAATGTCTGATTAATCCAAAATGTAAAACAAAAATAAAGAAAAACCCTTGAATGAGTAGGTGTGCCCAAACTTTTGACTGGCAGTGTATATATACAGTATACTTCCTAACTCAAACTCCTAACTGTATGTCACTCACCTCTTAGCAATGGAGAATGCTACCTCCACTGGGAGGAACATGTAGGAGGCCACACGTACTGGAAGCAGCTCAGTCACCTGGGAAAACAGACTGCCTGCATGTCTCTCCCTGCACGCCTCACACAACACTACCACACAGACACACACACACACGAAAGGCATTACTATGGATACCAGACAAGTGTCGGGGTAAATTCCTTTTCAATTCAGGAAGTGAAATTACAGAGGAAGACAGAGTGAGAGAGCGAGAAAGAGAGAGTGAGAGAGAGAGTGAAGAGCGAGAGCGAGAAAGAGGGAGAGATATTGGTAACCTTCAATGAAAGAAAAATATAATTTCAACAAGCATTTTGCTACGGCTGGCCATGCTTTCCACCTGGCTATCCCTACCCCGGCCACCAGCTCTGCACCCTCTGCTGCAACTTGCCCATTCCCCCCCCCCGCTTCTCCTTCACACAAATTCAGATACAGTGGGGAAAAAAAGTATTTAGTCAGCCACCAATTGTGCAAGTTCTCCCACTTAAAAAGATGAGAGAGGCCTGTAATTTTCGACATAGGTACACGTCAACTATGACAGACAAAATTAGAAAAACAAATCAGGAAAATCACATTGTAGGATTTTTTATGAATTTATTTGCAAATTATGGTGGAAAATAAGTATTTGGTCAATAACAAAAGTTTCTCAATACTTTGTTATATACCCTTTGTTGGCAATGACACAGGTCAAACGTTTTCTGTAAGTCTTCACAAGGTTTTCACACACTGTTGCTGGTATTTTGGCCCATTCCTCCATGCAGATCTCCTCTAGAGCAGTGATGTTTTGGGGCTGTCGCTGGGCAACACAGACTTTCAACTCCCTCCAAAGATTTTCTATGGGGTTGAGATCTGGAGACTGGCTAGGCCACTCCAGGACCTTGAAATGCTTCTTACGAAGCCACTCCTTCGTTGCCCGGGCGGTGTGTTTGGGATCATTGTCATGCTGAAAGACCCAGCCACGTTTCATCTTCAATGCCCTTGCTGATGGAAGGAGGTTTTCACTCAAAATCTCACGATACGTGGCCCCATTTATTATTTCCTTTACACGGATCAGTCGTCCTGGTCCCTTTGCAGAAAAACAGCCCCAAAGCATGATGTTTCCACCCCCATGCTTCACAGTAGGTATGGTGTTCTTTGGATGCAACTCAGCATTCTTTGTCCTCCAAACACGACGAGTTGAGTTTTTACCAAAAAGTTCTATTTTGGTTTCATCTGACCATATGACATTCTCCCAATCCTCTTCTGGATCATCCAAATGCACTCTAGCAAACTTCAGACGGGCCTGGACATGTACTGGCTTAAGCAGGGGGACACGTCTGGCACTGCAGGATTTGAGTCCCTGGCGACGTAGTGTGTTACTGATGGTAGGCTTTGTTACTTTGGTCCCAGCTCTCTGCAGGTCATTCACTAGGTCCCCCCGTGTGGTTCTGGGATTTTTGCGCACCGTTCTTGTGATCATTTTGACCCCACGGGGTGAGATCTTGCGTGGAGCCCCAGATCGAGGGAGATTATCAGTGGTCTTGTATGTCTTCCATTTCCTAATAATTGCTCCCACAGTTGATTTCTTCAAACCAAGCTGCTTACCTATTGCAGATTCAGTCTTCCCAGCCTGGTGCAGGTCTACAATTTTGTTTCTGGTGTCCTTTGACAGCTCTTTGGTATTGGCCATAGTGGAGTTTAGAGTGTGACTGTTTGAGGTTGTGGACAGGTGTATTTTATACTGATAACAAGTTCAAACAGGTGCCATTAATACAGGTAACGAGTGGAGGACAGAGGAGCCTCTTAAAGAAGAAGTTACAGGTCTGTGAGAGCCAGAAATCTTGCTTGTTTGTAGGTGACCAAATACTTATTTTCCACCATAATTTGCAAATAAATTCATTAAAAATCCTACAATGTGATTTTCTGGAATTTTTTTTCTCAATTTGTCTGTCATAGTTGATGTGTACCTATGATGAAAATTACAGGCCTCTCTCATCTTTTTAAGTGGGAGAACTTGCACAATTGGTGGCTGACTAAATACTTTTTTTCCCCACTGTAGCTGATGTTCTGAAAGAGCTGCAAAATCTGGACCCCTACAAATCAGCTGGGCTAGACAATCTGGACCTTTTCTTTCTAAAATTAGCCGCCGAAATTGTCGCAACCCCTATTACTAGCCTGTTCAACCTCTCTTTCGTATCGTCTGAGATCCCCAGAGATTGGAAAGCTGCCACGGTCATCCCCCTCTTCAAAGGGGGTGACACTCTAGATCCAAACTGTTACAGACCTGTATCCATCCTGCCCTGCCTTTCGAAAGTATTTGAAAGCCAAGTTAACAAACAGATCACCGACCATTTCGAATCCCACCATACCTTCTCCGCTATGCAATCTGGTTTCCGAGCTGGTCATGGGTGCACCTCAGTCACGCTCAAGGTCCTAAACGATATTATAACCGCAATCGATAAAAGACAGTACTGTGCAGCCGTCTTCATCGACCTGGCCAAGGCTTTCGACTCCGTCAATCACCGCATTCTTATTGGCAGACTAAATAGCCTTGGTTTCTCAAATGACTGCCTCGCCTGGTTCACCAACTACTTCTCAGATAGACTTCAATGTGTCAAATCGGAGGGCCTGTTGTCTGGACCTCTGGCAGTCTCTATGGGGGTGCCACAGGGTTCAATTCTCGGGCCGACTCTATTCTCTGTGTATATCAATGATGTCGCTCTTGCTGCTGGTGACTCTCAGATCCACCTCTACGCAGACGACACCATTTGTATACATCTGGCCCTTCATTGGACACTGTGTTAACAAACCTCCAAATGAGCTTCAATGCCATACAGCACTCCTTCCGTAGCCTCCAACTGCTCTTAAACGCTAGTAAAACTAAATGCATGCTCTTCAATCGAACACTGCTTGCACCCGCCCGCCCGACTAGAATCACTACTCTCGGCGGGTCTGACTTAGAATTATGTAGACAACTACAAATACCTAGGTGTCTGGTTAGACCGTAAACTCTCCTTCCAGACTCACATTAAGCATCTCCAATCCAAAGTTAAATCTAGAATCGGCTTCCTATTTCGCAACAAAGCCTCCTACACTCATGCTGCCAAACATGCCCTCGTAAAACTGACTATCCTACTGATCCTTGACTTCGGCGATGTCATTTACAAAATAGCCTCCAACACTCTACTCAGCAAATTGGATGTAGTCTATCACAGTGCCATCCGTTTTGTCACCAAAGCCCCATATACTACCCACCATTGTGACCTGTATGCTCTCGTTGGCTGGCCCTCACTACATATTCGTCGCCGAACCCACTGGCTCTTGGTCATCTATTAATCACTGCTAGGCAAATCCCCGCCTTATCTTAGCTCATTGGTCACCATAGCAACACCCACCCGTAGTATGCGCTCCAGCAGGTATATCTCACTGGCCATCCCCAAAGCCAACACCTTTTTTTTCTTCTTTTTTTTTGTCATTTAGCAGACACTCTTATCCAGAGCGACTTACAGTTAGTGAGTGCATACATTTTCATCCTTTGGCCGCCATTCCTTCCAGTTCTCTGCTGCCAATGACTGGAACGAACTGCAAAAATCTCTAAAGCTGGAGAATCTTATCTCCCTCACTAACTTTAAGCATCAGTTGTCAGAGCAGCTTACCGATCACTGCACCTGTACACAGCCCATCTGTAATTAGCCCACTGTCACGAGTGTCAGTGTAATGCGGTGGGTCGAAGTCAGGCGCAGGACACAGAACTCAATGAAAACGTACTTTACTGATAAGTAAAGAAACAAATACAAAATACCTCCACACAGGGAGGAGCAAACCCGCTTACCAAACGACACACAAAACGAAATAACAAACACACACAAAACACAATGGGAGCCACCAGGTTAAATAGGGAAGGAGTAATTACATGATGGGAAACAGGTGTGTGACAATCAGACAACAACAGGTAGAACATAGAAACATAGAACATAGATCGGCAGTAGCTAGGATTCCGGTGACGACGAACGCCAAAGCCTGCCCGAGCAAGGAGGAGGGGCAGCCACGGCAGAATCCGTGACACCCACCCAACTACCTCATCCCCATATTGTTTTTTATTTTGCTCATTTACACCCCAGTATCTCTATTTGCACATCATCTTCTGCACATCTATCATTCCAGTGTTAATACTAAATTGTAATTATTTTGCACTATGGCCTATTTATTGCCTTACCTCCATAACCAATTACATTTGCAAACACTGTATATAGATTTTCTATTGTGTTATTGACAGTACGTTTTGTTTATCTCATATGTAACTCTGTGTTGTTGTTGTTTTTAATCGCACTGCTTTGCTTTATCTTGGCCAGGTCGCAGTTGTAAATGAGAACTTGTTCTCAACTGGCTTACCTGGTTAAATAAAGGTGAAATAAAAATAAATATAAAACCAGCTTCACCTGGAATGCTTTTCCAACAGTCTTGAAGGAGTTCCCACATACTGAGCACTTGTTGGCTGCTTTTCCTTCACTCTGCGGTCCGACTCATCCCAAACTATCTCAATTGGGTTGAGGTCGGGTGATTGTGGAGGCCAGGTCATCTGTTGCAGCACTCCATCACTCTCCTTCTTGGTAAAATAGCCCTTACACAGCCTGAAGGTGTGTTCGTTCATTGTCCTGTTGCAAAACAAATGATAGTCCCACTAAGCGCAAACCAGATGGGATGGCGTATCGCTGCAGAATGCTGTGGTAGCCATGCTGGTTAAGTGTGCCTTGAATTCGAAATAAAATCACTGAGAGTGTCACCAGCAAAGCACCCCCACACCATAACACCTCCTCCTCCATGCTTTTCGGTGGGAAATACACATGCGGAGATCATCCGTTCACCCACACCACGTCTCACAAAGACAAGGCAGTTAGAACCAAAAATCTCAAATTTGGACTCCAGACCAAAGGACACATTTCCACCTGTCTAATGTCCATTGCTCGTGTGTCTTGGCCCAAGAAAGTATCTTCTTCTTATTGGTGTCCTATAGTAGCAGTTTCTTTGCAGCAATTCGACCATGAAGGCCTGATTCACGCAGTCTCCTCTGAACAGTTGATGTTGAGATGTGTCTGTTACTTGAACTCTGTGAAGAATTTATTTGGGCTGCAATTTCTGAGGCTGGTAACTCCAATGAACTTATCCTCTGCAGCAGAGGTAACTCTGGGTCTTCCATTCCTGTGGCGGTCCTCATGAGAGCCAGTTTCATCATAGCGCTTGATGGTTTTTGCGACTGCACTTGAAGAAACTTCATGATTAAGGCTCTGGTCTTGGCCATTGTGGAGAGGTTGGAGTCTGTGTGATTGAGTGTGTGGGCAGGTGACTTTTATACAGGTTGAGTTCAAACAGGTGCAGTTAATACAGGTAATGAGTGGAGAACAGGAGGGCTTCTTAAAGAAACACTAACAGGTCTGTGAGAGCCGGAATTCTTACTGGTTGGTAGGTGATCAAATACTTATTTCATGCAATAAAATGCAAATTAATTACTGAAAAATCATACAATGTGAATTTCTGGATTTTTGTTTTAGATTCCGTCTCTCACAGTTGAAGTTAACCTATGATAAAAAATTACAGACCTCTACATGCTTTGTAAGTAGGAAAACCTGCAAAATCGGCAGTGTATCAAATACTTGTTCTCCCCACTATATATATATATATATATATATATATATATATATATATATATATATATATATATATATATATATATATATATATAACATGAAAACAGAAGGCTACAATGTTTTCCCACAATAGATTCAAATCAGAGTCCTGTATTGATATCAACAAATGTTAAACAGCTGGATCTTTCACAATCTGCTTCACAAAAGTTTGTAAGATTTGGTTACCTTTTTTAATGGAGACTGGTAGGTTTTCAATGCTGTGTACATCCAGCCACCAGTGGTGTTTGCGCGGGTGGTTGAGCCTCCAACGTAGCAGGGTCTTAGTGGACTCAGTCTCTTCAGCAGTGGCTTCTGTTCTCTCACAGCAAGAGGCTGTTTCATTCACCATCTCATAGCAAGAGGCTGCGGGACAGTCTGTTTCAATCATCACACCGGCAGGGGGGCTCTCAGATCGGAGGAGGTCTGTAAAAAACATACATCACACCAGAGGTGGGACCAAGTCACTATTATTCGAGTCACAAGCAAGTCTCAAGTCGCAAGGTCTGGGTCTCAAGTCGAGTCTCAAGTAGAACGGGTCGAGTCTTGAGTCAAGTCCAAGTCGTGCATTCTAAGAGCAAGTGAAGTTGAATCTCAAGTTTTTTCAAGTCAAGTAAAAAAAAATCTATACATGAAATGACTTGTTCAACTACAAATCGAGACCTTGGGACCATAAGGTTCTATCTGACATTTCTGTCAAAAATGAGTCTGTCACATAATAGATCTTTAGATGGTTCCTTATATGTCTGTGAAGTTAGATCTTTGAAAAAGTAAATTTTCAGTGAAAAACTAGAAAGTTATATCTGCATCAACCCATTTGAACTTGGTGCTGTAAGGTTCTATCTGCAATCCAATCACAAGCCTGAACAAATACAGACGGACCTATCAGAACATGTATTTTTAAATTATTTTTTATTTTTAAATATATATTTTCCTTCTTTATTATTTTCCCCTAACCCTACCACCCCTCCTAAACTAATGGACAACAATACTTAGGCTTCCACTTCCAGCTTATAAATGTACATACTACATACATTTCACAGACACTACATTTTACATTAGTTATCTATTGTTTGTTTTTAGTCCCCGCCTTCAGCTACCCTCAGCCCCTCCCATCTATCTCTGAAGACTATCCAGTTTTGATTTCTAGCTGCCATATATATTTCTACTGTGCTGTGATGTTTCACAAAAGTTATCAACCTTTCTCTTCTCATAGTTTCTACAGATTGTAAATGAAAGATAAACACCTTTGCTAATTTTTTTTATTTTTTTAAATTTTTAATTACATTATTGATCGATTGACTATAACTTATCAAATCACCCAGCAGTGCTATTTGCAGAGTTAGCTCCAAGTAAAGGTTGAATTTTTTCAGCCATTCCTGAACCTGCGACCGAATACAAGCTACATATGGGCAGTACAAAAACAAGTGATCTAATGATTCTGTATCTTCGCAGCAAAATCTGCAGAGCTGGGATGGTTGTATCCCCCATATATATACAGTGGGGAGAACAAGTATTTGATACACTGCCGATTTTGCAGGTTTTCCTACTTACAAAGCATGTAGAGGTCTGTAATTTTTATCATAGGTACACTTCAACTGTGAGAGACGGAATCTAAAACAAAAATCCAGAAAATCACATTGTATGATTAGCATTTTATTGCATGACATAAGTATTTGATACATCAGAAAAGCAGAACTTAATATTTGGTACAGAAACCTTTGTTTGCAATTACAGAGATCATACGTTTCCTGTAGGTCTTGACCAGGTTTGCACACACTGCAGCAGGGATTTTGGCCCACTCCTCCATACAGACCTTCTCCAGATCCTTCAGGTTTCGGGGCTGTCGCTGGGCAATACGGACTTTCAGCTCCCTCCAAAGATTTTCTATTGGGTTCAGGTCTGGAGACTGGCTAGGCCACTCCAGGACCTTGAGATGCTTCTTATGGAGCCACTCCTTAGTTGCCCTGGCTGTGTGTTTCAGGTCGTTGTCATGCTGGAAGACCCAGCCACGACCTATCTTCAATGCTCTTACTGAGGGAAGGAGGTTGTTGGCCAAGATCTCGCGATACATGGCCCCATCCATCCTCCCCTCAATACGGTGCAGTCGTCCTGTCCCCTTTGCAGAAAAGCATCCCCAAAGAATGATGTTTCCACCTCCATGCTTCACGGTGCCGTGTAGTTCTGGGCTGATCCCTCACCTTCCTCATGATCATTGATGCCCCACGAGGTGAGATCTTGCATGGAGCCCCAGACCGAGGGTGATTGACCGTCATCTTGAACTTCTTCCATTTTCTAATAATTGCGCCAACAGTTGTTGCCTTCTCACCAAGCTGCTTGCCTATTGTCCTGTAGCCCATCCCAGCCTTGTGCAGGTCTACAATTTTATCCCTGATGTCCTTACACAGCTCTCTGGTCTTGGCCATTGTGGAGAGGTTGGAGTCTGTTTGATTGAGTGTGTGGACAGGTGTCTTTTATACAGGTAACGAGTTCAAACAGGTGCAGTTAATACAGGTAATGAGTGGAGAACAGGAGGGCTTCTTAAAGAAAAACTAACAGGTCTGTGAGAGCCGGAATTCTTACTGGTTGGTAGGTGATCAAATACTTACAGTGGGGAAAAAAAGTATTTAGTCAGCCACCAATTGTGCAAGTTCTCCCACTTAAAAAGATGAGAGAGGCCTGTAATTTTCATCATATGTACACGTCAACTATGACAGACAAAATGAGAAAAAAAAATCCAGAAACTCACATTGTATGATTTTTAATGAATTTATTTGCAAATTATGGTGGAAAATAAGTATTTGGTCAACTTCAAACAAGCAAGATTTCTGGCTCTCACAGACCTGTAACTTCTTCTTTAAGAGGCTCCTCTGTCCTCCACTCGTTACCTGTATTAATGGCACCTGTTTGAACTTGTTATCAGTATAAAAGACACCTGTCCACAACCTCAAACAGTCACACTCCAAACTCCACTATGGCCAAGACCAAAGAGCTGTCAAAGGACACCAGAAACAAAATTGTAGACCTGCACCAGGCTGGGAAGACTGAATCTGCAATAGGTAAGCAGCTTGGTTTGAAAAAATCTACTGTGGGAGCAATTATTAAGAAATGGAAGACATACAAGACCACTGATAATCTCCCTCGGTCTGGGGCTCCACGCAAGATCTCACCCAGTGGGGTCAAAATGATCACAAGAACGGTGAGCAAAAATCCCAGAACCACACGGGGGGACCTAGTGAATGACCTGCAGAGAGCTGGGACCAAAGTAACAAGCCTACCATCAGTAACACACTGCGCCGCCAGGGACTCAAATCCTGCAGTGTCAGACGTGTCCCCCTGCTTAAGCCAGTACATGTCCAGGCCCGTCTGAAGTTTGCTAGAGTGCATTTGGATGATCCAGAAGAGGATTGGGAGAATGTCATATGGTCAGATGAAACCAAAATATAACTTTTTGGTAAAAACTCAACTCGTTGTGTTTGGAGGAAAAAGAATGCTGAGTTGCATCCAAAGAACACCATACCTACTGTGAAGCATGGGGGTGGAAACATCATGCTTTGGGGCTGTTTTTCTGCAAAGGGACCAGGACGACTGATCCGTGTAAAGGAAAGAATGAATGGGGCCATGTATCGTGAGATTTTGAGTGAAAACCTCCTTCCATCAGCAAGGGCATTGAAGATGACACGTGGCTGGGTCTTTCAGCATGACAATGATCCCAAACACACCGCCCGGGCAACGAAGGAGTGGCTTCGTAAGAAGCATTTCAAGGTCCTGGAGTGGCCTAGCCAGTCTCCAGATCTCAATCCCATAGAAAATCTTTGGAGGGAGTTGAAAGTCTGTGTTGCCCAGTGACAGCCCCAAAACATCACTGCTCTAGAGGAGATCTGCATGGAGGAATGGGCCAAAATACCAGCAACAGTGTGTGAAAACCTTGTGAAGACTTACAGAAAACGTTTGACCTGTGTCATTGCCAACAAAGGGTATATAACAAAGTATTGAGAAACTTTTGTTATTGACCAAATACTTATTTTCCACCATCATTTGCAAATAAATTCATTAAAAATCCTACAATTTGATTTTCTGGATTTTTTTTTCTCATTTTGTCTGTCATAGTTGACGTGTACCTATGATGAAAATTACAGGCCTCTCTCATCTTTTTAAGTGGGAGAACTTGCACAATTGGCGGCTGACTAAATACTTTTCTTCCCCACTGTATGTCATGCAATAAAATGCAAATTAATTACTTAAAAATCATACAATGTGATTTTCTGGATTTTTGTTTTAGATTCCGTCTCTCACAGTTGAAGTGTACCTATTATATAAATTACAGACCTCTACATGTTTTGTAAGTAGGAAAACCTGCAAAATCGGCAGTGTATCAAATACTTGTTCTCCCCACTGTATATATAACATTCTATTGGTTGCAAGAATTTTGCATAATAATTTAAATGGAAAAACTCTACGTTTTGAATCTGGCGTCGTTTTGTGTATCAGTTCATAAACCATGTGCCATGGAATCGGTACATCAGAAATCTCCTCCCAAATATTTTGCAACCTGTATGGTACAGCTGTCAATTTTTTGGCCCTTAAATGAAACTGGTATACTTTTTTATTTATCACTATGTTCTTTAGCCAATTTTGTCTTTAATGCAGAACCGACAGACAAGTTCCTTACCTTCTCCCCTTTCCACTTGCCTCCTCCATATTTGCTGTAATGCTGCAATCAATTGGTTGTCATTTTGGATAGAGAAGACATTTCCATATTTGTTTGTTTACTGCTTGTGTGACATAACTCCACCAGTCCTATTTATTATATAATTTACAAAGATTATACAGTTTTTAAACATTTTTTTAATCAATTAGTATATTTGAGTTTAACCATAACATTTGTTCTAATATTTGTTGTCAGAAATCTTACATCGTTGTTCAGTGATGACAGTAATGAATTTGATTATCATAATACATTTCTTAACGTATTTGATGATGTGTTCTGACTCTCTTGGTAAAATAGTGTTATTCTATCATGTATGTATTAAAATAGCTACAGTTTTCTCAAAAAAGAAACATGTCTAATTCAGAAGTATCAGATAGAACCTTATGGCTGAACCCAGATTGACAATTCAGAGCCATGAGGTTCTATCTGCGATTGCACCCCCCTAAAAAAAATTCTCAGAATATTGATACTCTGTAACCTACTTTAGGTATCTTTAAGGTGAGGACCTTAATTGGTTATGAAAGAAGATTTCACAAACAAAACAGTTCTGAGATCTGGGATGTGAAAACTGTGACGCTCAATATCTAAGATCTATGCTTCGCGCAGATAGAACCTTATAGTCCCAAGGTCACGAAATATGTGTTTATTTATTGAGGCTACCAGACAGCCTTAATTAGAGGGCAATGCCTCTGGAATTTATACGCTGATTGAGTAGGTGA